TCTGGTTTCAGAACATTATCACACTCCATACAATATTAAGACATGGTAACCATTGAATAATGTGACTTTTTATTTGGAAATCTGAAACTCCAATATGCCGACTTGTGGCGTTGTGGCGTAAATTCCAAGTAATCTTTCCATTTATTGACAGGTTTATAAATCAGGTAGACAGGAACAAATTTAAGAAAGTGCACACATATGTAAAGGAAAGAAAACCATGAGCCATGCACAATGTACATTCATTTCTCTGTTTCTTCACTCTGCGCAACTTATTTTATGAATTTTGATAAGCATACTTGTAAATCCTTGATGGATGGTGCCCTGAATTGCAATATAGTGAGTCCAATAGCTTTCATTAGAATACAATATGTGTAAAATGTAGATCAATGAATACAGTATTTACAACGACACCCAAGAGCACGTGTTTCTGTTTTCAGTTCAATGAGATGCTGAGAGTTCCCGGGGGAACATGATGCTACCGAAACATACAGAAATATTCTTAAAAAGACGTCCTTGTTACATATGTATTTCGAAGCGCTTATTCCGCCACCTAGGGGCAGCATAGTAATCACAACCGGACTTCATATCCCATAACTAGTATCACAGATTCTTGGCAGTTAAGCATTTCCTTTCTGGAAAGATGGAATTCAAGCCAGTTGTTTCGTTAAAATGACAGCAGAGCCAAAACTATACACATTGAAATGAAAAATCGCAACACCTATGGTTTTTAACCCCAATAAACCAGACTATATCAATATCCTCAATATGTCTATTTGTATGATTATTCCGACACTTAAGGTGCACCATTCATTGACTTTAGACATGTGTATCCGTCATTAAGCAAATATCAATAGTTCATCAACACCGCAGATATAGTAAAATCACACAAAATTCAATAATTGAAAAATAACCGCATATAACGTATCAATGCTTCATGATTTACGAACGCTTATCTACATTTGTATCAGAAGGCAATTGTTGAACTAAATGTAAACAAGCAAAATTATCATTTGTATACACAAACAAAAAACACAATTATACTCTGAAGGTAAAGATCATTCGTTATGTAAGCTGATATTTGGCATCAAGTGTTTCAGATCTCCACAATTTCATTTCTTGATTAACAATGTCTGGCGTGTACCTCGATCGCTGAGCTAAAACAGAGATTACCCTGATGTTTTTTGATCGACTAGTGTTGTGACCGTTAGTGCTACAATTTCGACTAAACTAACAACCTTTGCTGTGTATTCCTACATGCACAGGGGCGGTGGGGTAGCCTAGTGGTTAAAGCGTTGGCTCGTCACGCCGAAGACCCGGGTTAGAATCCCCACATGGGTACAATGTGTGAAGCCCATTTCTGGTGTCCCCCCGCCGTGATGTTGCTGGAATATTGCTCAAAGCGGAGTAAAACCAAACTCAGTCAGTCAGTCCCACATGCACATGTACAAGAGGCAAAACAGGCTCACATGATGAAATTGAGACTGCCGTGAAGTGAAAATGTTGCAGCTTTCAACAACAAACGCATCAGTTTACAACACTGACACACCTGCAAAGACTGCCTCCGTTGTGTAGTGCTTAGAGCGTTCGCCCGGGGAGCGCAAGGTCCCGGGTTCGATCCCCTGTCGGATCATATCAAATTACGTAAAAATATAGTACTTGTTGGTCCCTCCCTGTATTAATGGGTACAACAAGGACTGGTCGGCTCAGTATAATGTGTCTGAGTTGGTATTCTTGGCATGGTATGCTACGGTATGGTATCTCCGTGAGCTGGCACTATGAAACCAGCTTAAGTCTGGGCTAGTACAAGCAGACACACGACGTTAAACCCTGATTCACCTGACCTCACATCACGCTTGTAAATAATACCTTTGGAGCAAAGTGAGAAAAAATGTCCAGGATTATGCAAATCAAACTTATGCAAGGGTATTAACGAGTGATTTGTTTCAAGTGTTTACGGAATTTGTTGAGTTCAGACACCTCTGTGTCACGCCTGTGGTCAGAGCTCCACGTTACCCTCGCCAGTGGTTGCGCCATTTAGGTCAGCCGGACTGGCCTTGGACTTCATAAGCAGCCGCCGCTACACGGATCATAAACTAACTCTAAATTCTGAAGAGTAAGATAGCCGTGTCGCGTTTAGTGATGATAAATTCGCAGATTACGTTGGAACGTGTACAAAAAGAGGTTAACTGCTGTTTTATATGTACAGATCAAAAGGTTGTTTAATGTTAACGATGTATTTGGCCAATTGCATGAAGATGCGGTAGTAACGGCAGGAGGAACTCCTTCATTGTCAGTTGTGTCAAGTTCAAGTGGGACACACACACACACGTCACTCTCTCTCACACACACAAACACAGGTCACTCACACACACAAACACACACACTGTTATTTTGGCAAGAAGAAAGATCAGTTTCACTGCACAAATACATACTGAGTTACATTGAGAAAGTTACAAAATTATACTTTTATAGAATGATAAACAATTACGGTTGGAAAAAGAACAAATGTTCATAAGGCTGTTTAAACCTAAGCTTAATTCAAGAATATAATCTTGTCAATGTAACTCAGTATGTATTTGTGCACTGAAACCAAAATGCATACACATCCACCACTATTGTTTCTAACTATGACGTCAAAAACATGATGACATCACAAACGTAACCTTACTGTCACCCATGACTACGTTTTTCGTCTCCCGCTATTGTCACTAATTGTAACGTCATACGCATGATGACGACATAGCTATTACCGTTACCTATTTATGTGTCGCCTATGACGACACTCAGCTTTCATTGTACACCTGAAGAGCCGTTGAACGGCGAAAGATCTTGTGTTGATAAAAAGGAGTTTGGGAAAGAAGAAATATCTGGACTCATATTTTATATATTTATTGCTTATAGACCTGGAGAAATCACTTATATATAAAAGTGACGAAAAAGTGGTGATGAAAAAGTGAAATATATAAACATGCCTACACACACATATATACTCAGCAGCAAAAATACGCCAGTACGAATTCAAAATTGATAGGCACTGTTATCAAATCATTACAGATATGGACATAAGTAAGCGGATCAAAAACATTTTTGTGTACAATATCTGGACCCACTCTCTGGTTCAGGCCTATTCCACCCCATACCATGACGCTTGCACCTCCCCATGAGTCTCTTTCGATAACACATCGGTCTGAGTAACGCTGGCCACGTCGTCGCCATATTCTTGTTCTGCCATCTGCAGTTGATACGCAGTACCGACTCTCATCTGTGAACAGAACAGTTCTCCATTGCCTGCATCGCCAGTTTTGGTGTTGCATGGCAAACTGTAGACGTTCACGCCGATGACGAGGGGTGAGGATAGGTCCACAGTAAGTTCTACGGCAATGGAGGTTCCCGCTGTTAAGACGTCGGCGTACTGTATAAGTAATGATTGGTCTTCCGTGTGTTCCCACTGTCTGGCGTGCTGTTTCGGGTGCCTGCATGAAGTGAGTCTGTACATGTTGTCGCACAACATGGCGGTCTTGTCGTCTTGTGGTCACCCTTGGTCTGCCAGTACGGGGGCGATCATTTGTGGTGTTGGTGGCCCGGAAACGTTGCTGCAGCCTGTAGATGGTCCGAACGTTAACCTGGAAGTGATTGGCAACGGCTTGTGCAGTGTGGCCAGCTTCATGTCTTCCTAGCGCCTGGTTCCTCTGAGCTGTCGTGAGTCGCGGCATCCTGCAGACGTTGTAATGTGAAAGTTTCAACTAGGTTTGGGGGTGCATTTTATAGGGCTGGTCTTTGTGAACAGCACGTGCAGCATGAGTTGCATGAAAAAGATCAGGTTGCGTTTTTGTGACCATTTCCTGGGTTCCATTCTGAGTTTGGGAAGGAATGTCTTTGCTCAGGTTAAGTTGGAGATGTTGTCAAAAATTTACAATCAAAATCATTAAATGAGCTTACAGTTATCCGTTTCTACGACGGAAAATTCCAAACTGACGTTTCTTTTGCTGCGTAGTATATATGGACCATATTTATGACTTTTCCGTACAGTCCAGTCCTTGTTGCATCGTTGCATTAGCATAGTTCAATGTAAAGCAACCCCAGAGATATATATCCCACTGGACCTTGACACAACTGACTATGAAGGAACGACTTGTGTCCCAACTACTGTCCCTATTGAAGTATGAGGACAATGGCATATGCATATGAATATCATATGTGTGTATGTATGTACGTATGTACGTACGTACGCACGTATGGATGGATGGATGTGTGTGTGTGTATGTGTATGTAAGTATGGATGGATGGATGGATGTGTGTAGGTAGGTAAGTATGTAGATGTGTAAACAGAAAATGGAAAAATCTTACTTTGAAAATGTTAACAAAGATACTTTTAGGCGTTCCTAAACACTTTTTTCACAATATCAAAGACACGTTGGACTTGTTTTCACTAATGCAAATCAACAGAAACTGTTTTGAAAGACTGAAATCATAGGAATGAGTCTTTTACACACTCTACAACAGTTGTTTCTTGTTTTAGTAGTTGAATAAATGACTTTAAATGGTATATATTTGTTTCACAGGAGATTTTTATTTCAACCTTTCTTTTGGACATCTAAGTCAGTGTTATTGGATAATTCAACTCTTCTCTAAATATGAATGCATTTGAGAAATTGTTGTCTTGATTTGCATAAAGCTGTGTTGTTAAGCTTTCTTGTAATTCATAAATGTTCGAGGGTAACGTTTCTTTTGGCGTTTAGTGTATATCTATAAATGGATAGATATGAGTAAGTGAATGAGTGAGTTAAACGTTTACCACGCATAAGCAATATGTTCAGCCATATCGTGAAGACCATAGACAGACATACAGGCGGATAGATAGATAGATAGATAGATAGATAGATAGATACATATGCAGATATATACATATGCAGATAGATAGATAGAACAACTAACAGTCTCTACCATACTACTCGTGTATTCTTACAGATTAACCTGATACATGCAACATTTAGACATGGTAACCGTGAAATATTGTTTATTTAGAAAGGTATAAACGAAAATCCAAAATGCCGGCGTGGTAGATATGTGAACAATTCATTTGTTAGTAACATGTCTATTTCTTAATCAGACAGACACAACTAATGCCCCACTACATTTAACTAAGATACATGTGAGAAAAATATGTGATTTATGCGAGAAAAAACGCAGTTCTACCTAATCATGTGGAAGAAACAATTTAATGATTGTGCACAAATATAAGAAAGATTTCCGTAAGCATGCATAGGAGTTTCTGTTTCATTCATCTATATCATAGTATAACCTGTAAAGAAGCACATATGTAAATGCATGGGAGATGGCGTTCTTAGTTAAAGCCCTAACGTGTGCCAATTCCTTTGCATGGAATATAACATATAATATATTTGAACAAAGTTCTTCAGTATGGTTAGGAATGACCAGTAGATGGAGAACAACAGATGTATTTACAAATTCATTCCTGACATTGTTTTCTTTTAAAAGTCATGTTCATGTTTACACTTCCTTGATAAACATGATGCTAATGAACGTACACAAAACCTTTAAAAAAATGCCCTTGTAACGAAATTATTTTACAATGCTTTTCCCTCAATCAAAAAAACGCGAAGCAATCAGAAGCATAAGATTTCCCTTCTCAGATATCACACATTTTCATCAGTTAGGATATTATCATTCATATCCCTTAAGAAAAGCAATGGTTACTGTTCCATATAGTTCTTGAAACGCTGTGATGTGTGTCAGTTGTCCGTGGCAAAGAATGAAGACCCAGAACTAAATAGCATTATCAACACTCTGACTACAAGCTAGCGTCCACGGCAGGAGAATGACCTGCTCTAGAATGGTTTTATTTCACGCCTCTTCGTGTTTGTCCTCCACTGAGGTGATGGGTTGAAGAACATCACCCTTCTGGCCTGCAAGATTCGCCTCCCGCCATTCGCTACTCGGTTCCAGTGAATTTGTGAATTTCTGAAACATTGTTATATGTTTGTAAAATTATTAAATATCATGCTACAATCTCCGTTAAAGGCCGTGGTATAGGTTAGTGGTTAACGCGTTGGCTTGGAACGCCGAATATTTAATTTACATCACCCTATGCGAATGAAAACACACGGGTTAGATGTATTGATATATCCATAATATATGTACCGGCTATTAAATTTTGGTAAATAGGTCTTTAATGATTTATGGGGCGGTGGGGTAGCCTAGTTGTAAAAGTGTTCGCTCGTCACGCCGAAGACCTAGGTTCGATTCCCTACATGGGTACAATGTGTGAAGCCCATTTCTGGTGTCCCTCGCAGCGATATTGCTGGAATATTGCTACAAGCGGCGTATCCTCCTACTCACTCGTTCACAATTTCCGTTAACATAAATGAACAATATTAACGATCCTCCTACTCACTCGTTCACAATTTCCGTTAACATAAATGAACAATATTAACGGCTAAATTTACATTTGAAAATGTGTTATGCAGTTGTAACCTTAATCTGTCGTCATCGATGTGATATTTAAGATTATACTATTTAAGCATTTTCACTGCAATATAAAAACTTATCAACTTCTGATGTAATTAGTCAAAAGCTTTTTAAAAATGAGATGTTGAAGATGTATCTTGTTAAATCTCCTTTTTCTGTCCCAGCATTCCAATCACATGTTTGGTAATACATGTACTAACCTCTTTTAGATTGGATCCCTTTGTTTTCCATACTTTCCAGACAAACACAGTCGGGAAGGGCAGGATCGAAGCCAGAGACACCATCCATCCGATTCCTGTTGCCCATGGAGGGTAGTCATAGTCTCCATATTTGGGAGGTCGGTAGGAATACAGGGAGTAGATGAACACCGACTGTGTGAACAGAAAAGGCAATGAAAAATAGATGTTTCTTTTATGTGCTTTAAAGCAGGAATATGTGGCGTTTGAATGTAATACATCTGCAATCACGAGTATATATATACGACTGACGCACTCGGTTTATGAAGGCACAATACCATTTAAAAAGTGGTCGAATGCAACATATGTTACATTTGGGATTACACTTTCTGAGTAAAGTAAAGACTCTAGTCCTGTTTATGGGTTGAGTCTCATCCGGGATTCGAACCCACACTATCAGAGTAAGGCACCTGATCGCCAGTACACCCACTCAGCCAACGAAGCCTCCACAAAACGGGAGTCGGACAACTGGTGGTCTAGACCACGACTTTGTGTACTCTGATGAGTGTACATGGCACGGCTTCCACGACCGAAAGCTTTGAATGCACACTGTCATTTAGAAAGTGGTCGGGTTCGAATCCCCACATGGGTACAATGAGTGAAGCCCATTTCTGGTGTCCCCCCGCCGTGATATTGCTGGAATATTGCTAAAAGCGGCGTAAAACTGAACTCAGTCAGTCAGTCAGTCAATAGAAAGTGGTCAAGTGTATCATTTGGATTTTCGGGATTACACTTTCCCAGTAAAGTACAGATTCTAGTATTTTTTTTTAGTTGAGTCCCGTCCATATATAACATATGTTATACTGGGTTTATTTCCACATAACCCGTGAAGGTCTGGGTTAGAATATTGGCCTTCAGTAACCCATGCTTGTAAGAGGCGACTAAAGGGATTGGGTGGTCAGGCCCGCTGACTTGATTGACACATGTCATCGGTTTCCAATTGCGCAGATCAATGCTCATGTTGTTGATCACTGGATTGTCTGGTCCGGACTCGATTATTTACACACCGCCGCCATATAGCTGGAATATTGCTGAATGCGGCGTAAAACTAAACTCACTCATTCCGTATTTCCACATAAGGATCCACTTTCAGATAAGTTGTATATATGTATATGTCATATTTGTTTAGAACGTTTCATTCGTTCACTAATCGTAAAGATACTGAAGTATACTACGCACTGTCACCGCTATACATGTGTGTTAGTATTCGAGATACTAAAGTTATTAGCAAGATTATCGTTGTCCCCATCATCACGCTTGTATTTGTAAAGAGTGATAAAAATTGTGATCGTGTATATAGAATATTTGGTTTGTTTGTTGTTTAACACAACACTCAGCAATATTCCTGCTCCGTGGGGTGATCTGTTAACAACTTTACTCTGGACCAGACTATCCAGTGATCAACAACATGAGCAACTGTTCTCGTAATTGAGATACGATGACATGTGTCAACCAAGTCAGCGAACCTGACCATCCGATTTCGTTAGTCGCCTGTTACGACAAGCGTGGGTTGCGGAAGACCAATTCTAATACGGATCTTCACGGGCCACATACAATACAAAATATACTGGCCACATGCCCACAGAAAATGTAGATATAGGCACACAGCGTCTTTATACATAAATACAGGCGTGAACATAGCAAGTATTGGAGACAATCAAACGCTCATGCACGTGCCAGGCGACGTGACGTCATTGATAGTGGCCTATGAACTTGCAATGTGTTACTGCACGTGCAGCCCGTGCAGCTGCACACAACATGTGAAACTTAAAAATTGCTGTCAGTGTCGAAAGCTTGATCTTTGGTCATTCAAACGTTCACAAATTCACATGACAAGTCACATGCACATCATGCCAAGATTAACATCTGCTCAACGTCATGAAGCCAATGGAATGGTTCGAGCAGGAATGAGCCAACAACAGGTGGCAGCACATTTCCAATGCCACGTAACACGCACAATATCTGCATTGGTCAGGCGTAATTGAAACACTAATGACGTCGCCGACCACCCACGGTATGGGCGTCCCCGACGTAACGATGCCAAGACAGGACAGATGGATTCGGGTGACTCATCACAGACACAGGTTCAAGACGGCAGTGACCACGTCCAAGACCATTCCCCAGGCCTTCAATGCTCATTCAGTAGCCTCTATGCGTCGTCGATGCACTGCTGTGCTTCACGCACATGGTGGTCATACCCGTTATTGACTTTGTGACTTCGTAGTGTGACGCCGTACCCGATTTTGAACTTCTGACGTCATCGTTACGGATATTGTTCTTGCTCTTTCCACATTTTCTTGTGGTCCGATACTTCAGGTTATAAAGTGTCTACATCATTTCGTCTTTTCTGTGTTGTATTCCAATTCTGAAGGAATTTTCTGTGTGCACAGTTTCTTTATGTGGCTAGTATATTTCAACTTTTACTTACAACAGTTTCCATTACGATTCATAAACTATTTGCAAGCAAGACATATTCTATCTGATCATTAATGTTTCAGGGTTAGTTGGATTGCTCTAAACAGTATTCCGGTCACATAACGGTATATGTACAGTTCAGTAACAATATTCAGTTGCTACACCATGGTGATAATTGCATTTGTGTGTATGGTATCACAGGGGCTGAGTGTTTCATCATGCGTTAATATTCAATACGTATGTGTTACAGGTCGTGTACTGGCAGTAAATTGGATTGAGTTAAAATTTAACGCACTGACTTTATTTCAGTCATATAGCGAAGAGATCAAGTAACTATTTAATATTACACCAAAATGCAGCACAATTACAAAATCATTAGAGACAGAATTATTATCATTTTCAAACATAACATTGGGATCATGGGGGACCTGCGGAAACTCAGCTCCATGCAGTCGTTGCTTGTTAGTTGTTGGTTTGTTTGTTGTTTAACGCAGCATTCAGCAGTATTCCAGCTATATTGCGGGGGTCTGGACAAGACAATCCAGTGATCAACAGCATGAGCATCGATCTATGCAATTGGGATACGATGACATGAGTCAACCAAGTCAGCGTACCTGACCATCCGATTTCGTTAGTCGCCTGTTACGACAAGCGTGGGTTGCTGAAGATCAATTGTAACCCGGACCTTCACGTGTCAGTCATGTTATCACTAACAGTCTCGCTAGGACTTACCAGCAATAACACTGGACAGACAAACTTGATTGCAATCATCATTACACGGGGGATAGCCTTTCCCCACATCGCCTTGATGTCTTCCTGTAATCTGCGTGTGCCTTTTGATGTACAGAAAGAGTGGGAACATTGGGAACAGTTTTATCAGTTTGACAATGACAACAATGATGAGAGATCCAATAAGTTGGATCCGGGTTAGATTGGTCTTCAGCAACCCATGCTTGTCGTAAGAGGCGACTAACGGGATCCTGTCGTCAGGCTCATCGACCTGGTTGACACAACAGCTTGAGCATCGATCTACGCAATTGGGATACGATGACATGTGTCAACCAAGTCAGCGAACCGGACCACCGATCCCGTTAGTAGCCTCTTACGACAAACATGGGTTGCTGAAGATCCAATAAATATATCTGTTGAGACAGAGATAACATTCACTACAGTGGAAACAGTGGAGACGGAAAAAACATTGCAAGCAAGGTGTTATTTTTGTTTTGAGTTTTGTTAAACCCAAGCCTCAGCGACATTCCAGTCATATGAGGCAGCCTTGTCTGTCTTGATCTGATGATCCTGTAATCATGTAATGTGAGTAACAGGGGTATCCTGGCTATCTACAGACAGCAGGAATATAGCTCATCGCGACGTTAAACAGCAAACCAGCCAACCTTTGGTGCCCTCAAGATTACGTCTTGCATACATGTAGGTTATTGGGAACTAATTCTATTCCCAATATCGACAATGGGCTGATATCATTTTGCTGTTTAACGCTGTACGAAGCAAATGTCAGCTGCATGCCAGAGGTCTGAAGGTAAACGAGCCTGGACGAGACGATGCCGTGATTGTCATAATAAGCCGAGATCTGAATATGACATGCACCAACCAAGTCAGTCTGTCCACTCTATGCATTTAGTCGGCGGTTGTGAGAAGCATGTGTTGCTGACACCAGTTCTAACACAGATCTCTATGGGTCTGCAACAGTCACAGAATTAAAACAGGAAAATCCAACACATACAGTCAGTGAGTAATATTTACCATAGCACCATCCTACCACAATGCATTCAATGGTGGCAAAGAGAGCAATCGAAGGAAAGTAGGCGAACCAGTCCACTAGAGTCAGCACGTAGATTCCGCCCTGCGTAAATAATAACGAAGCATTTATCACGTCATGTGACACACTGGCTAAATGGTGCAGGTGTATGAAAACGTGAAGGGTTACAATATACATTCCAAACTCACCTCCATCTGGTATAATATCAAAGTAGTGCAAAATAATGTAATCATTCAGAGACGATTGATAATGTTCTACAGGACTGTTGGAGCAACACACTTAGTCAGTCACTCACTCACCCAATAACTCACTCACTCACTCAGTCACCCAACCATCCAATAACTCACACACCATTGTGTGATAGTAATATGTTAAGATGTTGTTCTTTTGGGGGGTAAATTGCTCATGTTAGATTTATAAAAGTGCTCAATTTTCCTGGAGCTGCACTCATTTGTTGCATGCGAGTGCATCTGCACAAGTGATGAGAAAGTTACCTGCACATACCTGAGTAATGTACAGGAGACCAACGAAAAAGTAGGTGATCAGTAAGATGGCAATGACAAGCCAGCGTCGCTCAGAAAATCGCGGGAATCGATCCCGTACTGCCACAACTATGTTCTCAATGGGCGGAACCTGGAAACGATTACAGAAGCACAAGAAATACTCAGTGTATACCTCTGCCTTCCACGATAATATCTTTCCATACCCAGTGGAACAAGAAAATAATAAGCTTGGGAGAACCATCAGGAACATTCATCCATCAGCTTTAAGAGTTAAGTGAGTGAGATTTGAGTTTTACACTGCTTTTAGCCATGTTCCAGCACTATAACGGCGGGGCACACTAGAAATGGGTTTCACAAATTGTACCCATGTGGGGAATCAAACCCGGTCTTCAGAGTGACGAGCGGAAGCTTTAACCATTTGGCTACCCACCGCCCCACTGTTATCAACCGTTATTTTTATGACATTTAATGATTCTAAACAATACACAAAAGTATCTGTTATCATATTTTGTGGAAATATACACAAGATATATACACTACCAGAGTATCTAGCTCCAGGGTAATCAGCGTAAGAAAGGTCAAGGCCGACCACAACTGTGGCAATGGGAGGTAAGTGAGGACTTGTGGAAAAACGATAAATGCGAGGTTGAATCCTGAAACAATGAACGTTGGTTATAAACACATATTCATCTGGAATGACTTGAAACTGAGGATGGAATAGGCAAGAATGCAGTTATGTATCCTTTATTTGATAAACATGTTTCTTCTGATACGAAAATAACAATAAGGACTGAGTTTACTATTACCAATTGCCTGAACTGTTTTTCAGATCCATCGATCACTTGACTGTTTGTTCTGTTTTTACAGGCCGCCTTCACTTAACGGGGGGCACAGGATATAAATACTTAAAACCTTGAAGTGTGTACCAGACATTCTTATATTTCTCGCGAACACCTATTGTATCTTCTTTGAATTGCATTTTTGGAAGTTGGAGAATCAGATGAGAAACATTTATGGATGAACAACTTCTTTATTCAGGTGGATGCGACGTTTCGATAGGGATTACCTGCTGCAGCAACGGTACAAAAATCTGTATCGAAACGTCACATCACCTGAATAATGAAGTTGTTCATCCATAAAGTTTGTCCTTATCATTAACCTGTTGTATCACCGATTTTCGGTGATCCATTCGTATAATCTTCACAGTTCTTTCTCCCATCACCCAAAGGAACGTGTTTCTGAGTAACGTCAAACTTGGGTGGTTATGTTTTATATCACATGCTCTTAATCCGGAGGTATGAAAAGTAGTTCACGAAATACCTGACGATTCGAACGCTTCTACAGGCACCCCTCTCTGGTAGGCAACATGACCAATGATAGCAAAAGCCAATCCGATGAGGATGGTAACCAGCATATCCCCAATGCAGACGACAACTGAGTCTCTATTAAATAGGACGAAATGACCATCAAATTAGCACCTGGACTCAACAGAAGATCCTAAAAGCAAATCAGCTCAAAGCTACAAGAAGGTTGACCACGCCTGTCAAGAGTTTGTTGACAGCTCCGCGGTAATAAGCATCAGTCAAATCAGGGATCAAAGAACGAATTCTTCCGTATGTATTAATGATTGAAATAACTTAATTAATTAGATTAAAAAATGTTTTACGACCTTTTCGCGAAAATTGAGATGTGCAATTTTAATGTCAGTGTTACAGTTGTATAGGAATGGTAAAGAAAGTAAATCTTAAAAAATGACAGCTTTGCTAACTCATTTAAAATGAATGTTGAAAAGTTCATTTTTTCATATTGTACTTACTTGAATATGTATTGGTCACAACTAACCTGAAACAATTATTCCCAAACCTACTGTGGCTTGACAATGTCACGATTGATCCCATTGCAATTCCAAGCGAGTATAGGGCGAAATTACAACCCTCAATCCATACCTGGGCATAGAATGAAACGTGTTACACAACAAGACGGAATTACATTACAGTCGTGCAGGTACACCCAAAATATTCTTTATGAAAATATTTGTTTGATTCAATCTGTTATGGGGGACAGTCAAAGCTTGGTATTCTTCTGCACTGAGGTTGTTTATATGCAAAACATACGACGCGCAAAATTTTATTTCTGTAAGTGACATTAAAACGCTAGTATGATGAAGAGGAACGCTTGTTTATGGATCGACAACCTCTTTATTGCAATAGATGCGACGATTCGGTGTAGATCGCACCTCGTATGGATGGGAAAACCGCAATAACTCGGTGCGCCTAGTGGCTGCAAGAGTTGTATGATCTCCAGGGAGTTGAGATTGAGAGTATATGTCGTTGAGATTGACATCCAATGATCGAGGGGAAAAAAATACCAGCGCTTTGAGCATGCACTTGTGCGTGGATATGTGCGCTATATGAATATCCTATAATAATAATAATTATAATAATCTGTTGCAATAAAGAAGTTGACCATCCATTAAAATTGTCCCTCTACGCAAAAGTTAATCGACGAATATGATTATGTATATTAAAAAAATACCTCAATTTGACACATTCGGAACAAATATTGTGCAACATGTCGAAAAGTCAGTCTTCTACCTTAGGTGTTGTCAGTGTCTCGAGTTTGGGAACAAGATAGAAGTAAATCCCATCTGCCGATCCCGGCAAGAGACATCCCCGGATGAGGAAGATGATCACGAGGATGCAAGGGATGGCCACTGTCACGTACACCAGCTGTAACACATTGAAACGTGACTGAAGTGCCCTTGTGAAAAACAAAACAGTTTTGTACAACTGAAACGTTTGGCCGCGGAGTGTTCATAACGTGTAATTATAACATAGAAATGCAGGTACATATACCATATGGTACATGTACCATTAACAGATTAACATTGCCTGATTAACAAAGAAAAAAATCGTTTTTACTTTTGACTTCAATCTGGACTCAAGTTAACTTGGTACTGTATCTCAGTACATCACTGCTTTATAAACGTACCGAGTAATAATGAGTGAGTGAGTTGGATTTACGCCGCTTTTAGCAATATTCCAGCAATATCACGGCGGGGGACACCAGAAATGGGCTTCACACATTGTAACCATGTGGGGAATCGAACCTGGGTCTTCGGCGTGACGAGCGAACGCTTTAACCACTAGGCTACCCAACCGTCCTGAATAATAACGAATGGGGAACGGGCTATCAACTAAAAGGCACTACTCATTGGGTTTATGGAAGTGGTGGAAACTTTATTTATTCGAGAAATACCAATACTGCTGATCATGAATAGAGTTATGATTTCCTAACAGTGACTCTCCGCATTAAGATGTACTGGAGACTAACAGGTTGTTGTTGTACCTTTCCTGTAACTTTTATTCCTCGAAACACACAGAGAAATAAAACGGTGCAGCTGATAGCCAGGCTAATAATCAGGGGCAATCTTATGCTTCCTATGGTTTCTAGGCCATCTGTCATCTGCAAAACCTGGAATCTACAACATACATTAGACACCTACGTTACCGACACCTGGCGTGGTGTCGTTTAATATATAACCCGGTTCAGTTGTTTACTTGATAGGGCGTCTGCCCGATAAATGAAAGGTAGGTGGTTCAGTACTGGTTGATTTCCAAGACGTACCATGCTGGTAGAAGGACTAAAATAATATACTGAGGGAAACAAATAAGGGAACACCACTTCGTGGCAGTGTTCCTTTATTTATTCTCAGATTTCCTCCCACAGCTCTATTCAAAGCTGGTGATGAAAACTGGAACGTTTGAATTTTCCTGTGTTCCTTTGTTTGTTTCTCTCAGTATATATAATAACCGACAAGCTGAGGGTCAGCATACTAGGGTACCCATGGTAAACTGTTAGAGAGCTAACTCTGTACAACCGTGTAAGACTGTAAGTCACACACGCACGTACGTACACACGCTCGCTCACTCGCTCAATCATTCACTTACTGACACACACACACACACACACACACACACACACACACACACACACACACACACACTGACATACATATACGTAGACACACACACACACACACACACACACATACTTGTAACTTACAATATGATACAGTAATCAAATTTTAAACCCTATTTCAACGCTGCCTACCTTTAATCTTTAACCTGATTTAATGATGGAGGTCAACGCCTAGCACGCCAGTAGAACAGGTTGATGATCGGTTCACTGGCAGTTAAATTTTGTCATCCTACTAAGGCAACGTTTTTTCAAAGACATTCATCGCGAAATATTAATTGAAACTGATGTTACCTCCAGAACTCTTCTTCCGCTGTCATTCCAGCAACAGTACCATTGATGTCAGTTGCATCGTTGACCAGGCTGTAGCTGGTGCCGTTGACCGTCATGTTGGTTGCCGACGTTGAGTTGCCGTCACCAAACAGGGAGATACAGGTAGGAGTGTTCCAGTCATTGCCACAGTGGGCCCACGGTAGATGATTGGAGAAGGACACGTAGAAGTAGTACACGAACCAGCTGAAGATGACGATGAAATAGGATGCATGAATCCAAGTTCCCACGACGGTGCCCACACCTATACCTGTTAAAACAACAAAAGTGAGGGGTTTATTCCGTTTGCAAGGATCGTTCGCCTATAACTGGTCCTTCTACTCCACACTTGTAACCGTCACAGCTCCATGGACGACTTTGGTCGATATATTGACGTTTTGATATTTGAAGTAAACGCAATACGACTGACTGCCACTGTCACTCACTCACTAATGTTCATACTGTTCAACCGGGTAACGTTAATAATTTATGGCGGGGGAGGGGGAAGAGAGAGAGGGGTGGTGATGATGATTTTTAAGGGGATCACTCATTTATTCTGGGGAGGTAGGGGGGTCCACAATTTTGTACATTGAAAATTTAAAAGTTATGCTTAAAAGCATGGGAAGGGGGGATCACTTACTTTGTACATACATTTTAGGGGGATTCACATTGTACATGCTTCTCCAAAAAAAGCAGCATCACCACCACCACCCACACCTTCCTCCTCCCTTTGCAATTAATTATGTACGGTCTCTTATTTGGTTATAACCAAGAGGTTATAGTAGAGCACGCTAAGCTTGTTGTGTATAGCGGGTGCAATCGGTTGGGCAGTACATTTTCCAGAACACCTGGTGTCGTCACTGATTTTCAGCGATCCATTTACATAATTTCCAAAGCGATTTTTACCTTTACATCAAAAGGAATTTGTTTCTGAGGAGAGTCAAGAATGGGTATTCTTTTGCGCTTTCTATATTACATACGGACGTTTATATCATCCCCTGTTCAGAGGAACAACTATGCCTTTGCTTACTGTCTTGATGTCCTCCTATAGTCCGTGTGTGCCTTTTGTAGTACGGAATGAGTAGGACTACTGGGAACAGTTTTATCAGTAACACAATGACAACAACGATGAGAGATCAATGTTTTGTTTTGTTTGTGTTTTAGCGCTTCACCGTGAAGGTCTGGGTTAGAATGTACCTTCAGTAACCCATGCTTGTCGTAAGAGGCGACTAACGGGATCGGGTGGTCAGGCTCGCTGGCTTGGTTGGCACATGTCATCGGTTCCCAATTACGCAGGTCGATGCTCATGGTGTTGATCACTGGGTTGTCTGGTCCAGACTCGATTATTTACAGACCGCCGCCATATAGCTGGAATATTGCTGAGTGCGGCCTTAATAATCAAACAAATAAATAAATAATGCTGAAGGTGCAGTTTAGCCCGGATCTTCACAGGTATACCTAAATTCTTTGAGAGGCATTAACAAATTTAAGGTCACATGCAACGTAAAACACAACTTTGCAGATTCTGATACCTTTCGGTATGGACTTACCGAAACAAATCGTCAAAAAATGCAAATTCAACTTATAAAGTTGAAAAATAACGCGATGAAAAAAAACGCGCGAAATCGGAGATAAAACGTTTCACTAATTTTCCCCTGACTTTTGGGGGAAAACTGGTTTCAACAGCTGGGCTGCGCTCATAGCATGTGCGCAGTGAAAAAGGTTCGCGCAGCTTGGAAGCGGGTTGTCCGGTGAATACTCGGTGAAGGCTTTGGTGTGAGCTATTTTTCTAGTGTTTTGTTGATATCTCACAGGCGCGAGCTTTTTTATATGTTATGACAGTAAATTAACTGTTTATATAATTTCATTTGTCTATTTCACCACACGTTCTTCTTACCGAGTCACTTTCTCAGTACTCAGATACTTAAAAGCAATGTCATTATTTAGCGTCGACAGAATTTCTAACTGTGATATAGATATGTCGTTGCCACAGACAAAACTCAATGTCTTGTTTTATTGACACCTGTGTGTCTGCCTGCCTGTCTGCTAATGACAATATTCAATACACAGCTGCTATCACTGACCACATGCAATTTGAACTTAACACCAATCAGGCTATACACCATAAACAAAATGCATTGATTCATGGCCCGAGTTCGGTCTCTGTCACATTATGTAATTACACAGACAGGCAGGTGTGATACTTGAACACATGACATGTTATGATGTCTGTTGATTGCAAAATGTTATACACAAAAAATGAGCATGTATTTACAAAACCCAACATCTCTATATATACACACACAATGAGCCGTGAGGGCATCTGCAAATGAACCAGCCGTTACACTTCAGTGCACACCCAACCGCTCTGACTGGGTTCGGTATCCCGGCTGCTTCGTTTCTTGGGAAGTAAACCCAAGTACACAATATTGCACTTTTGATTTGCGATTGTACGCTTATAATTTTGTTTATATGTTTTTTCATAAGCAGCAATGAATATTATATGTCATGAATAAGTGATAATTGTGTTTTAATCATGTTTGATTTTTTGGTTGCATGTGACCTTTAAGATTTACGATCAATAAGGAAGGATGACAAAATACGGATGATCACTTGTTTGATAACTGCATTAGAACCTATACCGAACCGTCGTTTTCACTGTAATTAATATATTAAATAATTAATATTCATATATTATCCTCCTTCCTTATACCCAAATGCTGGATCCGGATATAAACCCATTGATTAAAGGTGTGTTCCGACGTTAATGGGATGCTTTGGGATGTACAAATGTATAAAAATATTGTCACCTTTTAAGTATTCATTGCTATGACACGTCAGCAAGATGAGACGTTTATGCAGTTTAGTCATCACTCTATGAATAATTATCCTCCAATGAACTCTCTCAAAAACAAATCTACAACAAAAGGGATACTGTTTCATCAGACATTTTGTGTATATTTTAAAAAAATGAAATGCAAATCGTACTCTTATAGTCAACTGCATATGTCTGGTCCCATTATTCGTCGGATGCCAGCACAGTCATCATGCACGTAGGCCGGCACATGTCAGAGACTGTAGACGTGTTAAAGGACACTCCTTGACAGGTAGAAGCTTTAAGTACAGCTATTACCTCATAAAGATACGTGGCTATCTGCGTAATTTCTTCATAATTGAGAAGCACTGGAAACAGTCAGTTCGCGGATGTTTCGATGGGTACACCTACAGAATACCAGCCATATTGTTTAGTGTCACGTCACCCTAATTTATAACCCTAATGCTAAACCTTACCCTAACTCTAAACCTAACCCTAAACCTTACCCGAAACCTAACCCTAACCTTAAACCTTACCCTAACCCTAACCAAAAGTAAACAAGCTTTCAAAGATGGCGGAAGGTATCCGGTATTCTGTAATCTTTCCTTTCGATGTTTCGATGCAAAAGTTTGGTCGTTGTTATTCAGTATTTCGCGGTTGTGTCGAACATTAACATAACTCGAAGTATTTACGTAGGTCCCTTCAACTTCGACAAAACAGTATCTGAATATGATTATTAGAGAGCTGGGGTTTAGGAACATGTCTCTGAGTCTGAGAACCTCCTTGTGGTAAGCGGGATTCAGGGGCCATCGGGACGTAAATGAAATCATATTTGCTGAGCAAATACGACGATGGTCAGTTTGAAAGTTCCTTCACAGATTTATACTTGTAGCAATATCACTTCAAATAGCACTCTGTTATGACCAGGAGTGCGTGCGTACATCAACATTCGAGCAATATCAGAGCAAATGACACCAGATAGTATGTTGTAGCCCAGTGGTTAAAGCGTTCGCTTGTCACGCCGAAGACCGGATTCGATTCCAACATGGGTACAATGAGTCAAGCCCACCTCAGTTATATTGCTACAAAAGTATAATATTGATAAATGCGTTAAAACATACTCTCATTTTACTTATACCCACTCACCTTTAAATGGCGGACACAGATTCCAGACTTCAACTGGTCCTTTTTGGGAAAACTGACCAATCACCATCTCCACAAACACAACAGGAATTGTCCCGATGAAGGTGAACAGGATGAAAGGTATTAAGAATGCGCCTGGAATATTTAAAACGATTATCACAGTCGAGAGATTATTATGTCCCCGGATAACCCAAGTAGCCCGTGGGGCGTCAGGTTACTAGTCACATGACTTATCCCATCGGGTACACATTTTCTGCTGGGTGACTAGAGGTAATTTTGAACAAACCCACATGTCTAAGGTGAGACCACATGCATCACATGTGCTTCGTTGTGGGACAGGACTGAAGTCCTAGAAACTTTCAGGAGTCGAGCTGCCAAACACGGTCACCCATCCAAGTCCTCTACGCGCTCAAGTCCTCACCTGATCAGTGACCTGAGCTCTATGCACCAGACCACACACCACCACATAGTTTAGTTAGAAAGCGTAATCCCAAATTTGAAATTTTAACAATTTTGATTTATATAATTTAACATTTGTTACGTTATTGTAATTGTTGAACATGTCTTGGAAATATTATCGGCCCAAAAATAGCAAAACTCTTGACATTAGATGCGACAATAGACCGCCGCCATAAAGCTGTAAAATTGCTGAGTGCGGCGTAAAACTCACTCACTCACTCACTCAATGCCAACATTGGTTGCTGGGGTCCAATTCTAACCTGGAACTAAGCCTCACAGTTTTAGAGTAAATCCCTTCATATGAAAATACACACAAAACATTATAGTAAAGAAGTTCCATATTACCTCCTCCATTCCTCATGCACAGGTAGGGGAATTTCACGAAGGACCCTGAACCGATTCCAAACCCAAGAAGGGTGACGACGTAATCCAGGTGGTGGCGCCATTTTTCATTCATCATATCTGTGAATGAAAACAAATGTTCACATCTCTCTGCTAACGACATGTTTGTAGCGAACGCAAGAAAACGGCACAAACAATTCCAACTGCAACAGAGTTTTATTTATTAATGATGCATTATGGGGACTCTTTTATGTGACAGCCACTTACTGCTTCATAAAACGTCGAGTTGAAAGATAATATATTGGTCTGAGTATTGTTATCATGTAATATGTATTTTTCTATGCATGACATATCAATAATATTCCACAGATAAGGTCAATGCCACAGAGTTATCAGTCTCGATTGTATTAGGCCTAAGAAAAACCATGATATGAAATAATGCAATTGAGTGAGTGAGTTTAGTTCTACGCCGCACTCAGCAATATTCCAGCTATATGTCTGTAAATAATCGAGTTTGGACCAGACAATCCAGTGATCAACAGCATGAGCATCGATCTGCGCAATTGGGAACCGATGACATGTGTCAACCAAGTCAGCGAGCCTGACCACCCAATCCCGTTAGTCGCCTATTACGACAAGCATAGATTACTGAAGATTCATTCTAACCCGGATCTTCACGGGTTGAAATAATGCAAAGTATATGAAAAACAGTAATGACACCAGGTGCTCGCGAACAGTGTAAGTAGGTACTGCGCTACCGATAGCATAAAAGATAACTGATACAGGATGCCACCCTGCAGTACACCTACCAGTGAGAGTGAATATGGTTTTACGCCGCTTTTAGCAATATTCCAGTAATATCACGGCGGGGGACACCATAAATTAGCTTCTCATATTGTACCCATGTTGGGAATCGAACCCGGGTCTTCAGCGTTACGAGTGGAAGCTTTAACCACTAGGCTACCCCACCTCCCCGTACTCTTACTTTCCGACAGCGTGATGTAAGGAAACCTGACAATCACGTAATGGACCTGGACATATCTTGTAAATAATATTGTTACTAACACAGCAATATTCATGACATTGGAGGGGCGGTGGGGTAGCCTAATGGTTAAAGCGTTGGCTCGTCACGCCGAAGACCCGGGTTCGAATCCCCACATGGGCACAATGTGTGAAGCCCATTTCTGGTGTCCCCCGCCGTGATGTTGCTGGAATATTGCTAAAAGCGGCGTAAAACCAAACTCAGTCAGTCAGTCAGTCATGACAATGGATATCATAGTACGCTTGGACTATGATTGAGGACAAAGCAACTGTGCTGCTTATTGCCACACTCGCAATATTGCAGCTGTAATCAAGTAATTTAAATACAGCGATTCGCATTTTCTTGTTTACAGAAAATGACACATCAATTTAGAAATACATCCTCTGTGCACTAGTGGGAAGATTTTGAGAATGGTAATATGGCTGTGATTGACATCCAAGGAAAAATTTACCAGCGCTTTGAGCATGCATGCTGGATGGACTATAGTGCTGTATAAATACCCATATAATAATACTATACACTAGTGCGTTGTCATTCATACATTTATGATTACTCTTTCATGCTAACACTATACAATTACACCTTATTCCTGATGGAATTTTAGATGAATTCCGTGAAAGTTGCATTCCTAAATAGGTTGGGAAGCGCACGTACAATCTCCATGACGAGAACGCACATTTCTACAGTCAAAGCTGACACGCCCTAGCTAGTGTTGATTCTAACGAGCATGTAGCATTTTATTTATGTCTTATCATGATGCATTCATTAATACAAAATCGTACTATTTAGTTTGAGAGTAGGGAGTAATTCATGGGCTGATCATCATGTTTACACTCGCGAAAATCTCCAGGCTACCTGTCGACAGAAACTTCCCTCCCCTGCCACAGCAGTGCCCCCGCCCCTCATCCCTCCCTCCCTGCCCCGCCACAGCATAGTCCCACACATACAAATGTGGGTCACCAGATCGCGTCTCTGCTGGCACTGTGAGAGAGCGCTTTGTACGCCACAATCCCACATATAACATATGTTATATTTACATGGAAGTGTATATCAGTCTCATGTTTATTGGAGGTTGATTCATTCAATACAATCACAAAAATGTGGGATTTGGGTATAACATCTCAATATCATCCCTGTTTCCTATACTTATCGCATTACAAGGCAGGATACAATGACAATATGGATTGGATAGGAAGTTCAAATATGGAATGTGATCAGCGGTAAGTTTGAAATACATTTGAAATTCTATTTAGTTGGGTTGTTTTCGTGATGGTCAAGATATAGACAAACTCAAACTATTTTCATGAGGCAATGAACGCTGATCTATATTGCATTGAACAAATGTGTTATAAAACCCTTGAACTGAACCCGAATAATTTCTTTTACACATATGTGTGCACATGTTAGACTAGACTAACGTTTAGTCTCTGAATATATATTTTTGATAGTAACCTAGCTATTTATATTGAAAAGGAGACCCGGAAGACCTGGAGGGACATCTAGACTTCATGTAGAGCCTTAGCACTGCAGGGAGGGCTAGGCTGTCGGGAAATAATATGGTTCAGGGACCGTGAGACAGGCTAATGTCAGACCAACGATTTTGAATACAACTTGAGGAGGTATCGTATTGCACCTTGGCTGAGTGAGACGAGGGAAGTGTGGAGGCAGCGAGTTTAATTCACCATGCCTTAGACTAACAACTAGTATCTGAAATGAACATATTTTACTGAAAAATGTTCATAGTAACAAAAAAATATAATATTATGAAAAGGAGCCCTGAGACTTTCTTCATTTTCAGAACTTGCCACATTTTCTAGACTTGCGTGGGCTTTCTTGGATATATTTTCTTCAGGGTCTGTACGACAGACTAACCATGCCTCAACGGCGCATGCTTTGAGATTTGAGATATAACAGAGTTTCTCCACAGGTGACAGAAAAGGTTATAGAGTTTGGAAAATATAAACATTTGTAAAAAGACATGTAGTTAGTGATAAACACAATTCACTGTCAGAGGGGGTTTATATAGGTAGAATTGAAACCGGATGAAACTAGTTTGTGGTCAGTGGTACAGTGAGATCGATAGTTGCTCTACGCTGATTGGTCCAAATTAATGGCGTGATGTCATGGTGTGAGCTATGACGTGTCATGTTTCCCACGGGGTACGCGGTCATTGACCCCCCAGTCAGCCTGAGTCACACCGGAGTGAGTTCGATAGTTGCTCTAGGATCTATGCTGATTGATCCAAAATAATGGCGTGATGTCATGGTGTGATGCTATGATGTCACGCCGGATCCGTTTCCCATGGGTACGCGGTCATTGCCCCCTGTGAAATGAGGTCAGCCAGGTGTTCGATGATGACGTCATTTGGGACTATTCCAACCCCTTAACAACAGTCAGGCATCTAATCGCAAGCACACAAAGTCAGCCGCCGCCTAACCCGCTGAGCCACCGATGGTTCCACAAAAATGGAAGTAGGACAACTGGTAGTAAAACCCAACAAAAGAATCTGTACTTTACTGAGAAAGTGTAATCCCAACTATAACATATATTACATTTGACTACGTTTAAAATGGCATATTGTATTTATAATAGTGGTCAGTTTTTATACGATATCCATCAATGGCGTCACTAACCCCGACCATCCGATACTGTAAGAGGCCTCTTTTAACAAAAATGATCTACCTCTGATTAGATCTAACCCTCATCCTCACTTGTACAAGAACTATTTTTAACAATTTATGACATCGCTATTCTGTTTGTAAATGGGTGACACCAACATATAGAAATGACGCTTCCAACTGATTGATGACGATGTCTCCAATCAAACCGAACAACCTGATGTATCAGGTTATACAACCAAGCGCACAGGGATATTCAATTATATCATACATCAAGGATGACAAACGACCGTTAAATACCTGCTACTGTACGCTGGTTCGTCCTGTTGAGGCTCTAGGTTGTCTCCACCGTATCCTCGGGCGTCTGAAGGCGATATGCTGGTAAGACAGAGATCCATGGGCATAACTAACTCATCACAAGTTGGTCCTTGGGCGAAATGCGTAGTAAAGTATGTATGCTGCATATAAGTCAGACAGTTTTATTCAAGGCAAGGCCTCCGGCATAAAATACACATGACGGTTATAATTCACCATGCAGTAATTTGCTCTCTATCATAATAATGTGGGGGGAATAAAGGTAGTAGGCTCTGAATCATCTGGGACAATATATGTTTGGTATTGTGTCTCAGTTGTTCAAAGATAACCTATCGACATCTCAGTAGAAATACGTTTTGATTGCATTAATATCCAAATTTAATGTTTCTAAATCGTTCTAAATCAGGTCATGGGTGGCATGAAGATGTTTGTTTGTTGTTTAACGCCGTACTCAGTTATATGGCGGAGGCCAGTAAATATTCGAGCCTGGACCAGACAATCTAGTGATCAACAACATGAGCTTCGATATACGCATTTGGGATACGATGTCCTGTGTCCACCAGGTCAGCGACTCTGACCACCCGATCCCGTTAGTCGCCTCTTAGGGTTGCTGAAGACTAATTGTAACCCGAATCCTCCCGTCGTAAGAGACAACTAACGAAATCGGGTGGTCAGGCTCATCGACTTGGTTGACAAATATCATCGTATCTCAATTACGAAGACAGTTGCTCATGTTGTTGATCACTGGATAGTCTGGTCCAGAGTCAAGTTATTTACAGACCATCTCACAGAGCAAGAATATTGCTAAGTGTTGTGTTAAACACGATCACAATTTTTATCACTCTTTACAAATACAAGCGTGATGATGGGGACAACGATGATCTTGCTCATAACTTTAGTATCTCGAATACTAACACACATGTACAGTGTGTTCCTCCAACAGTCCTGTAGACCATTATCAATCGTCCCTGAATGATTACATTATTTTGCACCACTTTGATATTATACCAGATGGAGGTGAGTTTGGAATGTATATTGTAACCCTTCACGTTTTCATACACCTGCACCATTTAGCCAGTGTGTCATATGACGTGATAAATGCTTCGTTATTATTTACCCAGGGCGGAATCTACGTGCTGACCCTAGTGCACTGGTTCGCCTACTTTCCATCGATTGCTCTCTTTGCCACCATTGAATGCAATGTGGTAGGATGGTGCTATGGTAAATATTACTAACTGACTGTATGTGTTGGATTTTCTGGGTTAAAATTGATCTTCAGCAACCCACGCTTGTCGTAACAGGCGACTAACGAAAGCGGATGGTCAGGTTCGCTGCCTTGGTTGACACACGTAAACGTATCCCAATTGCATAGATCGATGCTCATGCTGTTGATCACTGGATTGTCTTGTCCAGACCCCCGCAATATAGCTGGAATACTGCTGAATGCTGCGTTAAACATCAAACAAACCAACAACTAACAAGCAACGACTGCATGGAGCTGAGTTTCCGCAGGTCCCCCATGATCCAAATGTTATGTTTGAAAATGATAATAATTTTGTCTCTAATGATTTTGTAATTGTGCTGCATTTTGGTGCATTTATAAACTGTTACTTGATCTCTTCGCTATATGACTGAAATAAAGTCAGTGCGTTAAATTTTAACTCAATCCAATTCACTGCCAGTAGACCACACCTGTAACACATACGTATTGAATATTAACGCATGATGAAACATTCAGCCCCTGTGATACCATAAACACAAATGCAATTATCACCATGGTGTAGTAACTGAATATTGTTACTGAACTGTACATATGCCGTTATGTGACCGGAATACTGTTTAGAGCAATCCTAAATCCAACTAACTCTGAAACATTAATGATCAGATTGAATGGAAAGTGTTGTAATAAAAAGTTGAAATATATTGTATTGTATGTGGCCCGTGAAGATCCGTATTAGAATCGGTCTTAAGCAACCCACGCTTGTCGTAACAGGCGACTAACGAAATCGGATGTCAATTACGAAGACAGTTGCTCATGTTGTTGATCACTGGATAGTCTGGTCCAGAGTCAAGTTATTTACAGACCACCCCACAGAGCAGGAATATTGCTGAGTGTTGTGTTAAACAACAGACAAACCAAATATTCTATATGCACGATCACAATTTTTATCATTCTTTACAAATACAAGCGTGATGATGGGGACAACGATAATCTTGCTCATAACTTTAGTATCTCGAATACTAACACACATGTATAGGGGTGACAGTGCGTAGTATACTTCAGTATCTTTACGATTAGTGAACGAATTAAACGTTCTAAATAATATGACATATATATATATATACAACTTATCTGAAAGTGGATCCTTATGTGGAAATACGGAATGAGTGAGTTTAGTTTTACGCCACACTCATCAATATTCCAGCTATATGGCGGCGGTGTGTAAATAATCGAGTCTGGACCAGACAATCCAGTGATCAACAGCATGAGCATAGATCTACACAATTGGAAACCGATGACATGTGTCCACCAAGTCAGCGACTCTGACCACCCGATCCCGTTCGTCGCCTCTTAGGGTTGCTGAAGACTAATTGTAACCCGAATCCTCCCTGGAAGGAGTCATAAAGAACATTCGAAAATGACTATTTTTAAATAGACATAACTCAGCTGTCAGCGTCTTCAAATGTAAATACAATTTCCCTTTTTGAAAAGTGTTAATGGTTCAGGAAAAGCTCTGCTTTCACTGATGTAATCACCTTAAACGTCAATTGCTTCTCAGAACATCCTTGAGGCTATTACACTATCAAATTCAGTGTTCCCGAGATGTAGGACAACCAGACTCTCACACCGTCACTGAGCCATATTATTCGGCCCTTCCGACGTTCCCCTACTGAAATAGTTTTTGACCCAGCTTTTTTCCAGGTTCATCTCACTTGGTCTCTTTTTCAATTTCAAAAGGAGTCGTGTTTCTCTACCCAGATTATGTTTTCCGGAACAATGCGCTAGTCAAGACAACCACCTACATGATAGAAGCAGAGAAGGTCGTGGGACGCCGGTTTCCCGGGGCAAATGTAGCTCCTTATATTTTTCTAGCCGAGGGTTCGTGCCGCCTGAGGGCGCTGGAGGTGCATGTCAGTTTCGTATTACCTGGAGGCATAGAGCTTTCCTTGTGACTGATATATGTTTAAGTGCTTAAGGTTAACGGATGCGATGTGTCTATTTAGTAGAATGTTTTGCATATGTCAGTGACAATAGAACAGGAAGATGAAGTCATGTCATCAGCTGGCGTCCATCAGTGAGACAAATGACACGCCGCAAGCCCTCTATTGCCAGCATGAATATAAATCGTCAACACTTGAAAATAACTGGCCTCGACCAAACAAATTCCGTAGGGGACAAAGGGCAAAACAGCCTTGAATCGTAAGTGAATGAGTCAGTGAGTGAGTTGAGTTTTACGCCCCACTCTTCAATGTTACAGCTCTATGTTACAAATCAATTGATAGGTTTATGACATGGTTTATGTCTAGTAATCGATTTTTATTCAAAGTTTATCCCTGTTCGGACGACCGATCATAACAATCATGCACTCGTACATTTTGTGGATTTTAATATTGTTCGCATTATAGTATTTAAAATTATGCTATTTCTCGTTAATTCTCTGCTGTCTAAATTTGTGTAGGCGTTGTTTGAGCACCACCAAGAAATAATGCATTTCACACGGTTACGCCATACGAAAGTTGCAAACTGTGGTAGATTACATGTATGTCATTGTTTTGAAATAATGAAATCGAACTGACCGTCGACAAGATCATCATGCCAAATAAGGTACAACTCAACAACACTGTTGGTTGGTGTATTGTTTTACTCCGCACACATCAGTATTTCAGCTATATAGCTGTGGTCTGGCTGTTAAACCCGTGAAGATCCGCGTCAGAATTGATCTTCAGTAACCCATGCTTGTCGTAAGAAACGACTAACGGGATCGGGTGGTCAGGCTCACTGGCTTGGTTGACACATGTAATCGTATCGCAGTTGTGCAGATCGATGCTCTTGTTGTTGATCACTGGATTGTCTGGTCCAGACTCGATTATTTACAGACCGCCTCCAATTGCTGAGTGCAACGTTCAACAAACATCACGGTGACATAAAATAATCAACTCTGGATAAGACAAACCAGAGACTGACAGATTTTATATCGACATCCAACGCAATGTATAAAGACACAGCTAACCACGACGCCAAATCTGTCAGTCTGAATCTGTCAGATGCCTATTGAGACAAGCTCGCTCTTAGGTCAAGTGGGGGAATTTGAAAACAGAAATCCTGTCTGACTTTAACCCCGGAGAGCGGAAGGTCGTGGGTTCGATCCCCGACCACGTCATACCAAAAGACGTTAAAATATGGTACTTGTTGGTCCCTGCCTGGCGCTCGGCATTAATGGGTAAAACAGGGACTGGTCGGCTCGGAGTCAGTATAATAATTTGTCTGAGTGGGGTATTCATGCTTCACTGCGGCATGGTATCTCAGTGGGCTAGCACTATAAAACCAGCTTAAGTCTGGGCTAGTACAAGAAGCCGCACATACACATACACACGCATGCACGTCGTCATATGAGCGAAATATTCTCAAGCACGACGTAAAACCCAATTTCACCTCACCTCACCTCTGACTTTAACAAATGTCACCGCACGAGAAGACCATATTTTATATAAATATGCATACGAGGAAATGAACCTGTCATCGGAAATGTGGGTGTCACTTAGCTACAAAATGCAGCTCATAAAATAAAAGAACATTTGCGAGACTATGAATATATACTCTTCAAAAAAGTAGGGAACTTCATTTTTAATTTACGGTTGACAAAATTGGAAGATATATCGGAATCAGTCAATGTTGACATGATAATAATGAATGTTTTTAGAGTGCATCACCACTTGAGTGGAAACTGGGCGTTATGAAAATATTGTATTTGAAAATAAAAAAATGTTTCAATTGTATTAATGATGTTGAAGATGAATTACATGTTATGCTTCACTGTGTTTTATATGATGATCTAAGAGAG